TGAGGGGTGGAGTGTGGAGGGCCCTCTCCCATGAACCCAGGCCTGGGGCGTGGACACCAGCGCTTGGTTTAGTCCAGCCTCTGCTGTGAAGTCTGAGCTGGGCCACTTAGTTTCTCTGAGCCTCAGTGAGGCACTCTGGAGGTAGGAGAGTTTCCTTGTCCCCAGGTCCAGGAGGATCAGCTCACAGGGCTGTCTTGGGGACAGCTTGAGGTGGTAGCAAGACCAAGGATTTGCAGCCAAACTTCGCTTCCAATCCTGGTTCTTCTACTCCCCTCGGTTTTGTCATATTGAGCTGGTCACTTGCTCCTTTGACTCTTGGTTTTCCCTACTGAGTGGGGTCCTGCCTCTCAGGGTTGCCAGGGGCTCCAGTGAAGAAGTAAGTTGAAGTCCCTGGAGCCAAGTGGCTGCCTGAATCACCCACTGTGAATGGGGAGCCCGGAAGAGGCCGAGGGTGACGCTGCCTCTAGGGGGCGCTGGCACTCACTGGCAGAAGGAGAGACCCTGAAGGTGGTTTCAGGTGGTCCCCACCACAGGAAAGGGGAAGTCTGCCAAGGAGYGGTCAGAAGGAGGGTGAATGAGAGGATGTGGGATATCAGGTCTGTGGACATGAGACCCACTGGCGTAGATGCACAATGAGCTACCCGTGTGCAGACATACGAACACCTGGGGGACATCAGCCTCTCCTCTTGCACCCCATCTCAGTGACCAGTGACCAGGACGTGACCTCCGCCCGTCAGCCTCATCTCATCCCCTCCAGGCCYGACTCAGCAGCAAGACCCCAGATGGTCTGGCCCTGCCTCCAGGCCCATCGCTGCTCCCTGAACTTAGCTGTCCTTGCAGGTCACAGAGTCCTGACGCTTGCCCCAAACACTCACAGACACCCTCACCACCCCTGTGCCCGCTGTGCCAGGCAACTGCAGGTCAAGATGGAGCTTCTCCCAGGAAGCTTTTCATGATGCTCCGCCCTGGGACATGGCTGGCTTCAGCTGTCTCTGTCCTGGAGCAGGCACCATCCATCCTTGGTTCTCAGCTTAAGGGACCCTTCTCAAAAACCAGTTGGGAGATGGAATGATTGAATGATGTCTGTCAGGGGGTGGGACAGAGCCGGGTGGGACGAGTGCGCCCCTCTTAAGACCRAGGTGACCCAGCGATGGGCTAGGACAGGACAGAAGAGATGAGGATTATGGGATGAGGTTGGGAAGACCCTCTTCCTTGACCTGCTGTCCCTGGCTAATGTCACAGGCAGGACAGGCTCAGCCCCCCAGCCCCCAAGGAGAGGCAGCACAGGTGTGTACAGGTTGGTTTATTTACAAATATACCGATGTCTCATCTTTTCTTGTTGTTTCCATTTCCTGCTTTTGTGGGAGGAGGCAGAAGGTGAGTGGAAGGCGGGGGTGGTGGTGTGGTAAACGCTAATAAATAATTTAACAATGACAAGTTATTAAATAAAATGTGTGTGGGGATGGCAGGGGGCAGTGAGTCTGTACACGGAAAACGGAGGGATGCCTGTGGCCTGCTCCCACGCCTGCTGTGTGGAGCCCCCGTCACCCCGGTTTGGGACAGGGGCCCCGGCCAAGAGGCTCACTGGCAATGGCACCTTCTGGTGCCACACAGAGTGCCACACCTTCCCACTCCCCCAATCCCAGGCCGCGTGTGCCTGGGAGCCCCGTGAGCACTGGGCGTGAGTGTGTATGCGTGAGCGTGGAACCCTCCCCAGGGCAGAGCCAGCCCCAGGCTGCAGAGTCTCCGCACCCCAGCTGGTGCCCAGAACTCAAGGCAGGGGCCAGGTGGGCTTTTGCCAATTCCCTAGGCTCCTGCGTGARTGGTGAGGGGACAGACATCCAGATGAGTGGGCAGGGCAGCCTCACTGCCAGGGGCTGCAGAACCCCTAAAGGAAAAGAGGCTGCCCCCAACCCCATGTTGGGGACCTGACCCCGGCAGGACTTGCTCATGTGGACGCGGTGCCCGGACTCTCCTCGTTCACCCCCCRGGAACCCCTCCTGGCCCCTGGCCCCCCAGCCTTCTCCTCCAGGTTCTGCTGGCCCCTTGCAACCACCATGTCCCCATCTCAGCGGCCTCCATGGATCTCCTGGGATAGCACAGCAGGGGGGAGGTCGCCCTGAGCAGGCCATGGGGCTCTGGCGAGGTGGAGCAGGCGTCCTGTGTCTCCTCTGCACTGACTCGTGCTACCTGGGGCAGGTTCCTTCCCCTGAGCTCCACTCCCAGCAGAGAAGTGGAACCTGGTCCTTCTCCAAGACACCCCTGTCTACCCCTCACTTTCTGCCTCATCCCCCCAGGAACCAGAGAGTTCTTCCCTCTTCCCTCGGGCTTCCTGTCCTAGCCAGGATAGTGCTCGTGGGCCCACACCAGGCAGGGCTGGGGAGGTCCTGGTCACTCCTTACCCCTCCCCATGGGGGCTGCACTTCCTCCATGGTGCAGGTGAACCTGCTCATCTCAGCTTGCCCCGAGCTCCAGGGCGCTGAGTCTCAGGTTCCTTGCCTAAAAAAAATGGGTCCCTAATATCTGGGCATCTCCTAAGAGAGAAGCCCTCCATGAAGGCAGCAGAGGCCAGGGCTGGACTCAGGGTGGGAAGAGGTGGCTCTCTGGGCCAGCACGTTCACTAAGAACATGGCAGGACCCTGACCTGGAGGCCAGTCACATGCCGGGGGAAGGGGGCTGGCGTAGGGCTCCTGTTTCTACCTCTGGCTCTGACACTTGCTGCAAGGCCTGGGGCAGGCCTCTCTGGGTTCAGGTTTCTAGCTGCGACATGAGGGGTGAGCTCCATGACCCACTGTCGGTGATCCTTCCAACCTAGAGGGTGTGGAGGAGAAGGGCCAGGTCTCCTGGGGGCTGGGGTATCTTCCCCTGAATCTGCCTCAGGTGTCCTGGGCACGAGTCAGCCTGTGCCTGTGCCAGAGAAAGGGGAGGATGTCAGGAAYGGGGCGTGGCTGGCCCAGACCTAGGTGGGCAGAGGCTGCAGAGGACYGAGGATGTCCGCTGAGGTCCCTGGCAAGGTCCTTTTTGTAATGAGAAGAGCACAGAAGGGCCAGGCTGGTGGCCTCAGCCTGAATGGTGATGCTGAGCCCCATCTTTCCCTCTGACAGCTCTGTCTGGTGACAAGCAGGATGGGGTGAGGAGACTGGAGGAACCCAGGTCTCCCCAGTAGACAGAGGAGCAAAACGGCACAGCAGGTTGGTAGACTTGGAGGATTCCAGGGGGAGCCAGGGAGAGGGGCCTGAAGGTGGGGGGAGACCCCTCGGCATCCTCATTTGCTCCAAGGTGGGACTTGGCAGACCTTAGGGTGGTGGCCTTGGGCTAGACTTTAGATTTAAAGGCAGGGTTGTGAGCACCTGGACAAGGACACAGAGGTCACTGGGGGCCAGTGAGGGCTCTTTGAGGACCATCAGCTTGCCCTTACTTCTTCCTCTGACAGGATGGAGTTGAAGGGACGGGCCAGGGGCGAGGATGCCAGGGTGCCCGTATTCCATCACCCAAGGAGGACTGGTTTATGGGCCAGTGCTGAACGGGGACAGGCTCCCATGGCCCTCCTGCCATTCCTCTAACGGGCAGAAGTGTCCAGGGGGTGGGGAAAGTCAGTGGTCACAGAGTTGGGTTGCAGAGAAACCGCACAGGTTGGCTGAATCAAGTAAGAGGACATGTAGCCAGAAACAAGCTGGGRCCCTCTAGGTGTCTAGACAATGAATGTCCCCTCCCATCCCACCTGCTCACAGAGAACAGGTGTGGCTTAGTCACCACATGTGTGCAAAGCCTGGGGGATTTGTGACAGAGGGGCAGTGTGAGTTTCCAAGGTCAAGGGGCCCAAACCACTCAGGCCACGTTAGCCAGAAGGGGTCCTGAAGTAGGGAAGGCCATGGGCCTGCTCACGGTGGGCCTGCGGAGCGTGGACTTATGGCTGCCCACACCTTCAGAGGGAACGAGCGCTGCAGCCCGTCCAGGGTGCAGCTTTAAGAGGAAGAGCTGGAGAAGGCTGGCACTGGGAAGCGAGGACTAGGGACTGGGAGACACAGAAGCCCACCGGCAGGAAGGCCACTGGCGGGCGCTAGTCACTGGAGGCATGTGAGGAGGGCAGAGGAGGCTGGGAGGGAGCCAGGTACCAGTCGGCAGGCCCAGCAGGCGACTTTAGAGTCCCTTTCCACCTGGAAGCTCTGCTGTTCGGCCTGACTCTCCCTGTGCCAAGGACTCCGACTCTGACCTTGGAGTTGGCTGGGTCTTGGGCTGACTCACCTGGGCCAGGTGAGGGTACACCTGGGTCTACACATCTCAAACCCAACCCTGCCTCTCCTCTTCCTCCCTCTCCAATTGCTCTTGAGAAGTCCCTGTCCCTCATGGCCCCCTTTCCCCTTCCGACAAGGCAGACCCACAGAACATCCCTCCGCCTCTTTCAGCAGTTCTAAGGGTGTGTTTGTGTGTGTGTGTGTGTGTGTGCACACGTGTATTTTGTATGGGGGGTGCCTGTAGGTATGCATGCATTTGCATGTGTGTCTGTCCCTTTGGGTCTGCCTGTCACACCTGCTGGGCTCCTCCCTACTTCCCTCCAGGCTCCGGCTTGAGGAGTGGTCCTGGGCTACCTGGGACCTCAGAAGTGGCCCCTGTGCTCACTGGAGGGAGAGACAGTGCGGGCGCTGGTGCCCACGGCTCTCAGGTACCAGGCACTGACTGTGTCACATCATCATCGTCCTGGGGTGACATGGGGGGGGGGGCATGGAGGTTGGCTGGACACAGAGAGGACGTTTAAAAAAATAGAGAGAATTTACGCTTCCCAAAAAAGAGATGGGGAGGGAGAAGGCGATGGAGTCGAGGTGGGGCTGGGAGGCGAGTGGCTGTCCGAGAGCTCTGGGTCCCTGGGGGTGACAAGGTCTCTGTGGGCAGGACACAGCTCCTGCCCAGGCTGCGCCCGTCTGCCTGTCCGGCTGTGCCCAGCGGACACGTGCGCCAAGCCCGGCCGGCTGAGGGGAGGGCACCGTATGGCTGTCGGTAGAGTCCGTGTGGGCAGCAGGCCAGGGCCGTGTGGAGGCTGCCGAGGCCAGCGTTCTCACCCCAGGCCCTGTGCCCAAGCGTCCCTGGGGCCCAGCTGGCTCTCAGGAGGCGAAGTAGGAACTCTGCATGGAGTAGAGCCGGTCGATGGGGTTCCCCACGCGGGCCTGCAGGGAGCCCACGTCTGAGGAGCCCAGGAAGCAGTCGCTGAGGCTGGTGAGGGAGGTATCGCTGTCGATGTCATGGAAGATGGAGTCGTTCCCTGGGGGACAGGAGGGGCGTCAGGACCAGGTGCAGGCAGGGGCTCCTGGGGGCCCCATCATCCCTGCAGGCTCTGTGGCCAGAGGCCAGGAAAGACAGGACGGCCTACCGGCCAGTGTGTAGCCAGAGACTGGGGCGCTGGCCACAGAGGGAGCAGGTGGCTGGGTTGGCCTGCGCCCCTGGGCAGCAAGTGGTCATCATGGCCCCAAGCCTGCCTGGCCAGGCCGGGGTCGGGGCAGTGCTAGGGCAGCGGGGGTGGGGCGGCTTACCATAGGGGTTCATGTGGTCACCTGGCATTTGGGGTGGCGTGAGGCCCTGCTGGAAGGGGTCGCTGCTGCCGTAGGGACTCTGCTCCATGGCCACGATCTGCTGCTGCGGCGGGGCCAGAGGCGTGTAGGAGGCCATCATGCCCTCCATGCGGCTTGACAGGACCTCTGGGGACAGGGCATACCTTCACCAGCTGGCCGGGCAGCTTCCGCAGATGTCCCCAGGGGTCCCTTATGACCTCCTCGGGGCTGCCCAGGGGCCCGTCTCCCGCCTAGACAACCCATACGTCGGACTCCCCAGCACCATATCTACTGTGGCTCCAATTCCCTTCCAGGATCCGGGCCCCACCTGGCCTTCCCCACCTGGCCTTCCCCACCTGGCCTTCCCCTCCTGGCCTTCCCCACCTGCTCTGCCCACCCCCAACCCCAGCTCAAGGTCCTCAGGTGGCCAGGGTGGTGGAGCCCCATCAGACAATAGCAATCCCACCTGGCCCTGCATCTGGGCGCACCAGAATGGGGCCTGAAGCCGGGCCAGAGAGGCCCAGGAAGGMGTCTGGAGGGAGGAGCCCCAGCCCAGAGTGACCCAGAGAGCCCCTGGGGAGGGGGACGCCAGGCTGGGGCAGGGAGCAGCTGTCAAGGGCAGGATCCGAAAGTCCCGTCTGTGGGGTGGGATTGGGGAGACAGGGGCCAGCGTGGGAGGCAGCTGGAGGGTGGGCAATCGTGGGCACACTTTGGGGGCTGAGCTGAGTGTCCCCTGAGGACATCAGGAGTGAGGGATGGTCTYGGCAGGGAGGGACTGTGGGGAAAGACTGGGGGGGCAGACACAGGCACTGCCCAGCAACTGGGGGGGCAGGAGTCAGGAGGGGTCCTGAGAATCTCTGTCGAGGTCATTATGGGAAAGGCAGCTCTTTGGAGGGGACATCAAGGACATGAAACCATTCCCTGACCGGTGACAATCAGAAGCAGCCAGGGCGGGAAGGAGGTTGGGGTGTTGCCTGATTGTGGGCAGCAATGTGGAAGAACACGGGGTGTGACGAGCGGGGGGCGTGGGACTTTCTCCGGGAGTGGGGGAGCGTCCTCGGGCTCACCTTGGCCCAGCCGCTGGGAGTTCTGCTGCTCCTGCTGCTGCTGGTGCCGCCGCGCCAGCTTCTTCATCTGCAGGGGAGCGTCGTTGGTCAGGCCTGCCCACCCCGTGCTCCCCCACGCCCCCCCACCCTCCTCCCTGCCCCCACTCACTCCCAGCCCCCCCACRTCTGGGCCCCAGGAGCACCGGGGGCAGGAAGTGGCCTCTCACCTTTGCTCTTTGGTTCTGAAACCAGACCTGGACCACGCGGACGCTGAGGCCTGTCTCAGCTGCCAGCGTCTCTCGGACCTGGCCCAGAGAGAGGGAGACAGGTCAGGCCTGCAGGGACAGCTGGGAAGGGAGAGCTGGGTGGGGGGTTGGGGAGGTGAAGGGCCATCCTGCCCCCAGCAGGAGCAGAGACGGTGGGGCCTAGATGGGCAGCAGGGCAGCAGGGCAGCGGGTCTCGGCCCCCGCCCGGCCCACCCCAGCCGCCACTCACCTTCCGGCAGGGCTTGGACGAGACCTCAAAGGAGGCCTTGAAGGCTCTTCGCTGTTGCGTGGTGAGGATGGTCCGGGGTCGCTTGGGTCTTCGTGGGTCCTTCCCATCGTCCCCRCTGCCCTTGCTCTGGCTGCCCTGCCCCTTGGCCGGCTTCATGTCCCCATCCTCGTCCTCACTCTTCACTGTGGGGGACACAACCCAGCCTGTCAGGTAGGGCTGAGGGGCAGTCCTAAGTCCTAGCTTGTAGCCTCAGGTGACAAAGGTGACATGACACCTGACAAGATCCCATCTCCATCTGCTGACACCTGCTATGGGTGCCCAGCACCCCGGGATCAAGAGCCCTCCTTCCCAGCCGGCAGCCTGCCTTGCCGGGCCCCAGACGTACAGGGTGTGCTCACATTCGCACGCAGGGCAGGTCTGCTGGCCTCTTAGGGCTGATGGACACCCTTAAGACAGAGGATGGCATCTGTGGCCCAGGCTGGCCCTGGACTGCCCCCAACCCATCTTGCCTTGGACCCTCCTTATCCTGTGGACCTGTGTCACCCTAGAGACCTCAGCCCAGCATGCTGCCTTCAAGAGAAGTCTCCGCTGCACTAGCCACGTGCCCGCTGGGTGTGGGGTGATAAGAGGAGAACACAAGGGGCCTTCTTTCTTGAAGCTTCCAGGGACTAAGACTCGACCGACAGAGGACATGTACCACACGTCCTCATGCCAGAGTACGCATGGCAGTGGTGTGCATGTGCATACACGGAGGAACACTCACTCTCTGACACGCACATGCAGATTAGCAATTGGCCCACAGCAGCCCGTGCCCATGCCGCTCACAGACACAGGCCGGGGGCACATGCCACAGGCAGGGACACATAGGCCTGCAACACTGATTGTGTGTTTCATGATCACACATGTGGYGTGAAAAGCGTGTGTTCACCCAGCCACACACCCACACCACAAGCATGTGCAGTACTTCCAGTCCCCTGAACACTGGGCTGCAGCGATGCCAGCCCCAATGGGCGGCCGAGCCTCCCCACCCCGCCTACTGCCAGGCCACCTGCTGCCCTCGCCTGAGCTGGGCTSTCTCCTCCAGGCCTGTCTTTCTCAGATCATGAGCCCTGTGGAGGGGCCGGTCTCCCCTCTCCCAGGCCTGGCATGAATGGGCAGTGGCACAGCCTGGCCTCTGCTCCTCAGGGGGAGCTTGGCAGCCGCAGGAGGGGCTGTGGTGATGCCCTGCCCAGGGAAGACAGCGACAGAGGGAGAAGAGCCCACTACCTCCGCCAAGGCCCCCACAGTGACAGACCCCTGTGCATGCAGATACCGTGACTGTGGGGCTCAGGATGCCCCTGAGGGGGCCAGCCACCTCCCCAGCCTTTTGCACATTACACAGTTTGTGCACGTGTCTGTGTGTGCACGTGGGCAGTGGGTGGGAGTATGTGCACAAACACACAAGTGCAGCCATGAGTGCCTGGCTGTGTGTGTCCGAGTGTGTACGCCTGTGTGTACCTGGGTAGGGTTTGCATGTTGGACGCGTGAATACATATTCACACCTATATGCATGTATGTGCGTTCGTGCTCCCAGGCGTGCCTGTGTGTGTGCAAGTGTGATCAGATGCTCGTGTCTGTAGGGTCATGTGATTCAGGGCCAGTGTCCGGGTGCATTTTGAGCCCGGGGTGGTGTGCACGGTAGTGTCCGTGTGCTTGTGCGGCGTGGGTGTGTCGTCCTTGCGTGGCTCAGGTCCCTGCTGAGGAGCTGGCCTGGCTGCCCTCACCACACCCGCCCGGGGATAGCACTCACCGGAGTCGGACTCGTCGGGGCTCACGGAGCTGAGCAGGTCCTTCTCCTTCTCGTAGTCGCCYTTGCACAGCAGCTGGCCTTCCTTGAGCACAAACTCGTCACCCTTGCGCAGCTGCCGCTCGCACACGCAACAGCAGAAGCAGCCCAGGTGGTACACGCACTCCAGCGCCCGCATCACAAACTCGGTGGGTGCGATCTTCTCCATGCAGCCACTGCACTTGGCCGCGAAGAGCCTGCCAGTGCACAGAGTGGGCGTGTCGGCCGGGCCCAGGGTCTCCCAGAGGCCACTGCCTCCAAGGACCTCTCCCTCCTGCCACCCGGACCCCCAGGCCCACATGGGACAGACCCTCCTTGGCACAGGGCCAGGCAGTGGGAGGGCCCTGCAGGCCTACTCTTCTGCCTGGCAGGTTCAAGTGACCCAAGGTGCGTCCTGGCCTGGGTGCATCTGCTCAGGGCCCGTCCACCCAGAGGCATGGTGGCCACTAGAGGGCAGTGTGTAGGGTCAGTCCACCTTCCCCCAGGGCAGGGTGATTGGGGGCAAGGGTCCCACCCATCCCAATTCCCTGACCTACTTTGCCACCTCCCTACTCCTCCCTCAACCCCACATCCGTGCATCCCTGATCCTGTCCAGCCTTTCAGCCTTGGGCCCTCCCCTGCCTAAGTAGCTGCCCCAATCCCCTCCCCAGGCTCCTGGCTACTCTAACCCCTCAACCTTCTCTCACCTGACCCCCCAACACAGGATCCAGCAGGATCTTTTTAAACACATGTCTGATCTTGCTGCTGCCTGCTCCACCTTCTTCCCGGCTCCCTAAGTCCCTTAGAAGAACATCAAGCGCCCAACGTGGTGATCAGGAGCCCCATGGTCCTGCCTCCTCCTTCACCACCTTCTGTGTTTCACAGAACAGCTGCTGTTTCTCCAAAGTGCCATCATGGTGGCCTTTCGACAGGCTCTTTCCTGTGCCTGGGTTTGACTGATGTCTTATTAACCTGGTTTCAGCTCAGGCATCGCCACGGTGGGGGTTGGGGCAAGCACACCGCAGCAGCCATTTTAGCATTTTAGCAGACAGGAGATGAGCCCCCGAAACAAACCTGAACTGGCCCCATTTTAGAGATGGGGACACTGAGGCCCTGAGGGGAGCATCGGAGCCAGATGGGTAGTCAACATGGGGGCCACTCCCAGCCTGGACTTGATCCAGTCCCTCCATGACAGAGTGGCTCCTGCTCCCGTCTCTGGAGACAACCCTGGCGGGGGTCTCTGCCTCTGGCTGGGGGGCTGGGCGACAGGCCCCTCCTCTGCTGGCTGCTGACCGCTCCCCCTGACACCCCCCCTACCCATCACGCGCCCTGCTCTGTGGGAACTCGGCCTCAACAACACTTTGATGGAAAAATTTATGAAGAATCAAATTATTGCTGCTGGGAGGGAATTAAAACCATTTTTCATTCCCTGCGTCCCCGGGCCACGTCTGCAGGCGCCACCTTGGGAGCGCTGTGCGCATCCCATCCCTCTTTATGGCCCGCCATCGCGGGCAAGGATTACAGCTGCAATTCTCCACTAATCGGCTCTGGAACAGGAATGGCCATAAATGTGCGGCTCTGGGCCTGCCACCCTTCCCGGGGCTGCCATGCACYGCCCACGGCGAGCCACTGGGGTGCAGTGGACAGGGCCAGCTTGAGCTCTGCCTGCTGTCCTAGCACTGACCAGGATGCTCAGCTTGGAGGCACCTCCAGGTTCTCCGGACACCCACCTCTGTTCTTCCCGGTGGGCTCCTACTCATCCTGCAACGCCCAACTCCAATGCCACCTCCTCTGGGAGGCCTTCTCTGATGCCCCATCTAGGGGAAGCGGCCTCCTCTGTGCTCCCCTGAGCTCTCCTCTGGCCTCAGCTCACTCTGTTGTAAAATGGGACATCAACAGGACCTCCCTCCAATACATGGCCAGGATGTGATGATCCTGAGCACATAACCCCGTAAGCATCACCGTGGAGTGGCCACGCACTCCGAGGGCACCCAACTCTACTGGGGTCCTATGAAGCAGGGCCTGGCTCCACCAGATCCTCAAGGAGGCCCCTGCATGTTTGAGGAGAGGCAAGCACAGGCCCGGAGCCTGCGCAGCTCAGGCTGAGCTCTGCACCCCAGGCAAGCGGCCACCTCCAGCTCACACAGTGCAGGTTTTGCAAAGGGCATACCAGCTGGGTCTCAGCTCCAGGTCTATCCTTTGACTGGATATTCTTGTTCAGAGCACAACCTTCTCAACTGTCCGTGGCAGCTGCAGGGCACCTCAAGGATTCTGGCTGACCAGCCACCTCTGCTAAGGACTTGCAGAAGCAAATGACCATGGAGGATGCTCCTGCCCTGTGTCCCTCCCTGGCCCTCTGTACCTGACCGAGGGACCCCCACTGAGGTCCGCAGGCTGCCCTTGAGCAGACAGACACGGGCGGAGTCTTTGCAGCAATGGCAGGGCCAGGTCCCAGGCCAGGGTCAGCACATCTTGGGTGGCTCCCAGAGAGGAGACCTCCTTAGGCTGGGGGTGGGGGTGCGGGCTGGTGACCCGCATTCGCGGTCGAATCCACCATGCTGGCTGTTGAGAACAGCTAATGCCTTGGCAGCAGGGGGTGGATTGCTACTTTCTCCAAACTCATCAACACAATCTATTATTAATACTTCTCCAAAGGCTCKGTGCCGCCATTACAGAGGCAGCGCCAGCCACTCGGGGCGTCATCTGTTATCTAGATTGCAAAAACCCGGGAAATAAAACAAACGGCACGCACTTTATAAACGGAATGTGCCATCCGTTTGGTCTCCAAGCATCTCTCCACCCAATAAAACATCGGGGGGGACGCATGAAATACTCACTCCCAATTATGGGGCTGCCTTTGTCTATGCGCAGTGCTGGGGTGAGAGCTGTTAACAGGGGGTGGGAGGGGTTGGGGGCACCAGCGGCTCCCCTCCTCTCGGTGAGCCCCATTTCCTCTCGCTGATTCTCCCACCATGGAGGGCCTGGAGCAACCAGCCCCCAGGAGGTGTGAAGAGGCAGGCCAGCCACAGGCAGGGGGCCCCCCCGCAGTGAGAGGACGTGAGGGTCACACTGGCTCTCCCACTTGCTGACTGGTGACTGGCTCTTACTGAGCCTCAGTTTACTTGTCTGTATAATGGACTCCACACCACTGCCTGCTTCTCAGCACAGAGAGGCAATGAGTTCACTGTCGGCGTAAAACAGTGAGCACAGAGGGCAGAGCCTGGGGTCCATCCCGGGCAATGGCTCTACCTCTGAGCTACATACCCAGCCCCTTTTAAAATTATTTTTATTTTGAGACAGGTCTCCCTAGGATGCTGAGAGTCTTGCTAAGTTGCCGAGGCTGGTCTTGAACTTATGATCCTCCCGCTTTGACCTCCAAAGTCACCGGGATCACAGGTGTGTGCCCGGCAAGTTGGATGCATTCAAAGCCTTTTGGTTCTGTGCTAGTATGGAGGAGGCTTTTGCCAATATCTGCCCTTCTTTTGTCTCACTTGTATCCCAAATGTCTTCATGGGTCACCCCTGCGGGGTCTCCATGATTCCTGGGGCCTTCCTGACACTGGGGGGGTTTTCCAGTTCCAGCTTCTGTGCCCCCCTGGGTTCGGGCTGACCTTTCCAGCTTCTATCTGGCCTGATCTCGGTGGAGCACCCCTGGCTTCAGGATCTGGGGGGTCTCATTAGCATTCTGGAGGAGTGCTCATGCTCCGAGATCATCCCCCTGCGTCACCTTCTTAAGTCCCCAAAGGACCCCAAAAGGAAGAGCCATCTCATCACCGTTTTATAGATGAGCACACCAAGGGTAGGGGCAGGCTACTCCTTCAAGGTCRCACCCAGCCTCCCCAGCCTCCCTCCCTGCCCTGGGAATCCCAGGGTGTCCTGCATTCTGGGGACCATGCTGTGTCTGTGAACTGTCCTGGGAGGGGCCCGATAGACCCCAAGTGCTTACTACTCAGAAGGTGGGGCTGAGTGTCCGGGGGTTTTTTGAAAAACAAACAAACAAACTGAACATCCCGACACACACACACACACACACACACACACACACACACACACACACACACATCTTCTGTGTCGTTGCTGTCCCTCTCCTGGAGGATCATCTGGGATTGTGGGGCAAGACATTCCATCTGTAGGGACATCCCTCCCTTGAAGAGTCCCAGGCTGTGAGATCACATCTCCAGCTCTTCTCAGTTTTTATTGGTTCATTTGTTTAATGCTCAATTTATTAAACTCATAAAGCTAATAAACAAAACTCTGAAAACTGTTTTTTCAGGAGCATTCAAACATGGATTACAGATCTGATTCATTTCTCCTAAACCACAGATGACTGCGGAGATACAGGAGTTCCGGGGATCCTTAGGCCCCCCGTGACCCTGGYTTCCTAAGGACACTCTGAGCAGTCTTCACCCAGATCTGAGTGTCCAGATGGCATGCACTGGGCTTGGGATCCTGGCTCTGTCACTTCCTAGGGCTGGGACTTTGTACAAGTCCCTTCTCCTCTTGAGCCTCCGTGTCCCCGTCTGGGGAATATGATAGAGGCACCTGATTGGGTTAGGCATAGGGGATGGGCGCATGGTTGCCATTTCCCTCTATCATCTCAACATACCTGGCACCCATTCACCTTTCTTGCTAGGTGGATGCTCCCTGTCTCCTCCGCATGGGGTTACCATTTGCTTATCCCAGCACTGCACTTTACAGTTGATAGAGCCCTTTGTTGAATTCCCAGAATAACCCTCACTCCGGGTTCATCCTCCACCCTCAGTGGGCCTCCTCGCGCCCCCCCCCCCGCTAGCCTCAGTGGTGATTCCCACCCCCCACCCTTCTAACCACCACACTGACCCACCCAATGGGCACCGATGCTTCTTATTCCACAAAAATAGGCTTGGTCTTGCCGCCTTGCTGTTGTTAGAAAGTGTCCCCCAAAAGCCATATGTTTGGGCCCCAGCCCGAGATGCTACTGGGAGGTGGTGGAACCTATAGGAGGGGGGCTAAGGGAAGGAAGTTATTGGGGGTGTGCCCTTCAAGGATATTGGGACCCAGCCTTCCTTTCTCTGTGTTTCCTGGCTGTCATTAGGTGACAGCCACCCACTCCTGCCATGAGGGCCGAGCAACCATGATCTGAAGCCTCTGACACCTGAGCCACAAATACACATATTTTCCTTTTTGCAAGTTGATTATTCAGGCATTTTGTCACAGCCACAGAAAACGGACACATCAAG